GGAACAGCAAAGTTGGAGGCTGCTCCAGAAGGGAAGGGGAGACAGGGATGGCACATGACAGCAAGGTGGGCTGGGTGGAAAAGGTGAGGACAGCAGAGTGGCCCCACCAACAAAGGTCCAATAGTACCTGAGCAAAGCAAGCAGAGACACTTTGGTGAAAGTGACCAGGGTCACTTCACAGGAAAGCTTCACAGGAAAGACATGGAGCTGTTGGAAAGGGTCCTGAGAAGCACCACATAGATGATCCAAGGGCTGGAGCAGCTCTGCTCTGGAGACAGGCTGAGAGAGTTGGGGTGTTCAGCCTGGAGAAGAGAAGGCTCTGGGGGGACCTTAGAGCACCTTCCAGTGCCTGAAGGGGCTCCAGAAAAGCTGGGGAGGGGCTTTAAACCAGAGAGGGCAGTGATAGGACAAGGGGTAATGGTTTTAAATTGAAAGAAGGGAGATTTAGGTTAGACATCAGGAAAAAATTCTTCACCATGAGGGCAGTAAGGCACTGGAAGAGGTTGCTCAGAGAAGTTGTGGCTGCTCCATCCCTGGCAGTGTTGAAGGGCAGGTTGGATGGGGCTTGGAGCAACCTGGGCTGGTGGGAGGTGTCCCTGCCCATGCAGGGGGGTTGGAACTAGATGATCTTAAAGGTCCCTTCCAACCCAAACCATTTTATGATTCAATAGGGCAAGTGCAAGGTGGAATAGGCATGGTGGTGCTCATCAGCCATCAACTGCACTGCCCCAAAGATGTCCACAAGCCCAAATGGTCCAAGCCCCAGGAAGGGGAAAGTCCTCAGGGCCATCACACTGACAAGAGCCATTAAAACTTATAATTTGCCTACCTAAAAAAATCAGATTCCAAACCATCTCATTTATTTTTGACTTGGACAAGTGGAAAGGAAATGGAGACATAATTTTTTATGCTTTGCTGCTGAACTCAGAGCTCAGGTAAGATGGTGACTGTTACATGCTGGGTAATTTTTTATTGGTAGTTATTGTTGGTAGAGGACATTTTGATTGGAAGTAATTCTACTTCTGTGTCAAAGTACTTCCCCATTTTTTTGAGAAATAAAGAGAATAAAATAATTCTTCTTTAAGCATTGACCTGCTCCTATGGTTTATTGCCCAGATTAAGTAAAACTCAATGTTCTGTCTCCAACATCCTCCTTCCTGGTGCAGCTGGGATGTTACCTTTATTATGACAGGGAACACAGCATGTCCATTTTCACCAAGGTTTATTTGAGTTCAGATCTAATGTGCTAAATCCATGTGTGCCTTCAATCCTTAAGAGAAAATAAATCCTTAAGAGAAAATAAAAAGAGGAACATCCACCAACAGCTCCTTTTCTTTTCATAGATAACAGAACTACACAGGAGGAGCTTCCTAAGTGTGGGCTGTTTTCTTAGCAAATAAATTAGCCACAGAAACCCCCAAGGTGACAGAGCTACTTAACAAGGAACTAGAAACAATGAGGCTTGTGTTCAAGCCACATCCCTACTTCAGGAGGTGTGGTTTGCCAGGGCATGAGGGTGCTGAGGGCTGCTGGAGGTTCAAAAAGCAGCCAGGGGAATTCTAAGGAATGAAACGCACCTAAAGCTATTAAGAAAAAGGTGCCATTTCTGGTTCAGAACATCCATTTAAAAAGCAGCTGTGGAAGAATAAAGACAAGAAATAAGACAACTAAGAGGCACAGTAGGCACTCTAGGAACATCTCAGCAGTGGCCACAGGACAGCTTCCTTCTAACTTCAGAGTGACAGTGGGGATATCCTTCTAAGAGGAGCTCAGTCCACTAAAATCCCTTTGGTTCATGGAATGGTGGCACCTCCAGAACACAACTCACCTGACCTGCTTTAGAAATCTACTTCAGGATGAGCTGAATTTCACCAGAGGAGCAGCTTTTCCTCTCCATTGACACTAAGGGGAACCAAAGGCAGCAGCTCAGAGGTGTCTCCCACATCCACCTTAGGTCAGACATATCCTACCTATGGACAATGAACAGTTAAGATCAACACCAGAACTAGGACCCTCTCTGAGTTTGGAAGTGGTTCAACAGCTGTTGGAAGTGGAACACAGAATGCTCTCAGTGTATTGGAGAGCACACAAGAGAGGCTTTTTTTTTCCCCCCACAGTACTGCAACCTCACTGCAGGTTCTTAGGATAAGTCAGACCATTTTCATCCTCTCTTAACAAAGTTTGCTGGTGCTGGATCATCCTCTTAACACAAGTATCACCCTAACATGTGGCCTAGACACTCTCAGTCACACCATGGCAAAGCACAAATGACAACAGAATTTGGACCATCCCTACACTGACTAAACATCTGTTCTTTTTGTTTAAATTATCTGAAGAGAGTGAACTTCACAGCACTGCCAGTGTGGCAGAGCAGATCAGCTCCAGCTCAGGCCCACAGATTGTCCTTTGGTGCCTGAAAACAAACACCAAAAATAAAACAACATTAAACCTTTGAACAAAAAAAAAAGGATGTATGTGAACACCTTCACAGAGCAGACAGAAGTGCCTAAAACCTGATCTTCAGAGCAGCAGGAGGACACACCAGGCCAGTGTAAATAGAATTAATATGAATTTATCTTTCTGAACAGAGTCTTGGAAAAGAAACAAACCCAAATGGATAGTGAGGCCCATGTAATACTCAAAATTAAAATATCATAGAATCACAGAAAGTTTTTGGGTTGGAAGGAACTTTAAAGATCATCTAGATCCAACCCCCTTGCATGGGCAGGGACACCTCCCTTTTCCATCATTAATGACTTTGAGTAAATGCCTTATAATTCACTCCCTTTCAAATAGGTATTTGAGTCTTCTCCTACTTCACTTCAGAACTCAGTGATTCATAAACGGAAGCCTGTAACCCACAGATCATCTTGCTTCCTAATTAAAGAACCCTGTTAGGACATGTAGAATAGTTGCTGGATTTTCTTTTAAGTCCAGACCTGTCACTTCCTTGAAAAATAACTGTAGCAAATGAAAATGAGCAAGTCTTCCACCAGCCCTGCAAAGCTTTCATGTGGGACAAGGAAGAGCCCACTGTTCCTCTGCATTTTGAGGGGCTCTGTGTGTGTGTGTGAATACACACTCACATCTCAAGGACTCACTTGGTGCTGTGATCTGAATGATCTGAAACCAGGGATTTCATGCAGAACAGCAGGGGGGATCACTTAAGGTTACTTAGTCCAGCTTTGCTGAGTTTCACAGAACCACAGAATGGTGGGGGTTGGAAGGAACCTCTGGAGAACATCTAGTCCAAGCCTCTTGGTCCATCTACAGTAAGTTGCACAGGATGGTGTTCAGGCAGGTTTTGAGTGTCTCCACAACCTCCTTGGGCAGCCTATTCTGTACTCTTGTTACCCTCAGAGTACAGAAGTTTTTCCCTTACATTTAGGTTGAACCTCTTGTGTTTCAGCTTGTGACCACTGCACCCTGTCACTGGACACTGAGAAGAGTCTGGCTCCACCCTCCTGACACCCCTGCAGACACTTATCACCACTGACAAGACCCCACCTCAGCCTCCTTTTCAGCTGAGCAGCCCCAGCTCTCTCAGCCTTTGCTCACAGGCAGATGCTCCAGTCCCTTCATCACCTGAGTGTCCCTGTGCTGGACTCTCTCCAGTAGTCCCTTGTCCTTCTTGAACTGGGGAGCCTAGATTTGGATGCAACACTCCAGTTTCCCCTGCCATCAATCCCACACAGCAGTCCCAGGCCTGCCTTTCCCTATCCAGATGAGGAAGGCCACCCTTCACGCTGCTTTGGCAAGGAAGAGCAGCCCCTCCTGAGCTTTGCTCTGCATCCCAGAGCCACCAAGACACCGCTGGGCCTGTCCCTACACCCATCACAGCTGGCAGCGCCCCCGGGCACCATCAGGTTTGGGGGCTTATCAAACCAAACAAAGCGCGGACGCTGCAGCGAGCACCTCCCGGGGTGCCATAGGTTGGAGAGGAACGCTGCCGAGAGGATTCACAGGCGAAGGGGTTCACAGGCGAAGGGGTTCACAGGCCAAGGGACACCGGCCTAGGCCCGAAGGCCCAGCCTGACCCCAGCGCCGGCCCCACCGGGGCAGCCCGCGCCCCGAGCAGTGCCGTGAGGGGGCTCCCCGAGCCCCGCGGGGCGGCAGGACGATGCTGCGGGGCTGTCAGG